TTTAAAGAAAAATATAAAATAGAAATGGTACAAGTAAGGTGGATATAATTGAAGTAAGGTGGATATAATTGAATATCTAAAATATTTATTTGTTCCTTTCATCGTGAAAATCTATATCTATATAATAGATCAATCCATTTTATTATATTTGTCACAAATTTTCCCGTTTAAATATATCAGCCGATTTTGACAATTTCTATTAGGCATTAGTTTATAAAATAAAACTAAAATTAATTATTTTATTAATAAATTTGAGAAGATTTAAATCAATTATAGATTGAATTAAAATTTGATCTCAAAGATTGGTGAAGGTCTTTATTAATTGTTTTAATAATACACCGTTTTAGTACAAGTTTTGTTTTGATAGTTGTTGAATTAAAATTTGATTTCAAAGATTTGTGAAGACCTTTATTAAATGTTTTAATAATATACCTAAAGATATATTTTAGTACATGTTTTGTTTTGATGTTTTCTTAAAAAAAAAAAAGTGATAGCATTATAAAAACACGCACACACACATATATATTTTAAAAGTTATTTCTTTGGGAGAAAAATAAAGTTCAAAGTGTATGTTTTTAATAAATATAACCAATAAAAATTACACTAAACTGACTCAAGTAACATAAGTGACACTTGTTAATCACTAAAATGATATATAGGTTGATAAACACCGATATCTATATCTATATAATGTACATATGTATATTATTATCATTGACATAGTTTTGAGCATGAAAAAAAAATTGTATATATTTCGCACATAATTAATAAGCTTTATTTATTAGCAAACTTTACAAATGAAAAAATAGTTATTTTTTTTCTTTACACGATGTCTAATACACATTAAATGTAAATTGACTTAAGTAGAATGATTGATTTTTGATTATACGTATTTTGAATAATAAATTAAATCAATTATTTTAATTATTATTTCATGGTTGTAGATATGAATTATGTCCTTTAATAAAAAACACTTAAATATATAATAAAAATATTCAAAAAATATGTTTGAATTATATTCGCTTAATGAATAATTTATGTTATTGATAAATTTTGATAAAATGTATTCAACTTAACCGTCAATAAATTATAACCCTCTTGAATATATCTTTTGTATTGATAATACTACTCAAAAATTAAACTATATATTAATAAATTATCTTTTGATGATCGGGTGAAATTAAGAATTATAAATTTCACATCAAAATGTTTATGTAAAAAAATGCTATTCAAGGTATTAAAAAGTAAAATGTTTATTATATACTATTTTATAAGAAAAACAATTAACTAAAATATATGTTGAAGTAATAATTGAAAAATTACAGTATTTGGTAGTCATTTAAATATACCATATATCAAAATGCTTAAATTGTTTTTAATGAAATTATTATATATGTTGTAAACACATGAATTAAATAAATAAATATAGACAATTTTAAAAATAACTAATAAAAATACTAAAAATAGTACACTTTTAATAATCGATAATTATATAAGTACGTGCAAGTAATTTGTAAAGAATCGTCATATTTAAAAATATTACACTTTTACAATATTTATAAAATAATAACTAATAAAATCCATACCTACAAAAATAAATTGGAAAAATAAAAACAAAAATATTTAAATAAATATTAAATTATTACACACTTAATATGTTGTGTCAAATAGAATTAAAATACCTTAAATATTTGATAATAAAATATTTTCTATACTATGGCTCGTGCATCGCACGGGTTACAACGCTAGTGAATATTATGACAATTTCAAAAGATATTTATTTTGTTGGTAAACATAAATAACACCTAGATACTTAAAAATCATAATAATAACAAATACTATTATGAAACGAAGAAAAGATACAAATGAAAAAGATTTTCAAAAGTGATTGCTAAAATCATTGTTTTTTTTTTTTTTTTTTTTTTTTTTTTTTTNTCGTTCAAATCTTCACATATATAATTTTAGTTAAGCCACAAATCTGAGTATTCCCTCATATTTTGTTTTTCTTTACATACACATTTACTCTTTATATATTTTAAAATAAAATGAATTATATAATTTGTAAATGAAAAATAACGATGATAAAATTAAATTAAAAAATAAATTATATTAAAGTGCACCAGTTAAAATTAAATAGGAATAATATAATCTAAGATAATAAAGTATAAAAATAAAATTGTATTTATTTTTATTTATTTACCATTTCTTATAAGATAATATAGTATTTACTAAATTATCATATATTTTAGTATATAAGATAATATAAGATAATATTAGATAATATAAGATACTATATTTTATTATAAAATAATATAATATAAGATAAGATATTATTTATTATATTATATTATCATATATTTATTATATTATAAATAATATAATGTAATATAATACAATTAATATTATTATTATAATATAATAAATATTCATTTTCTTATATTTATTATCTTAAATATAAGATAATATAATCTAAGATAGTAAAATAAAATAAAATAAATAGTACAATAAAATAAAATAAATATTTTATTATCTCATATTTTATTATCTTATATTAAATAAAATGAGAAGAAAAGCAAATATTTTATTATCTTATATTTATTTTATTTTATTTTAATTTATTATCTTATATTATGTTATTTTTATGTAATTTTAACTTGTGTATTTTAATCTTATTTATTTTTTAATTTAATTTTATCATTATTATTTTTATTTCCAAATTTATATAATTATTTCATTTTAAGAAATAATAAATATAATATTTTATTTAAATTTAATTAATTTAAATGCAGTGTACTATAATAATCTATCTTACTTTATATTAATTTCTTTTTCATCTATTATTATATAATTTATTTTATTATATTTTAATTTTAAAATTTTATATCTTATTAATATAATTTGCATTACTTTAAAATTTAATTGTATCTATTAATACTTAGTGTCCCTATATATTAATTGCTATTAAATTTAACATAGAACTTGGATTGTGGTGTGGTGGTTACAGTGCCATAATGCAACCTAGAGGTCACAAGTTTGAACATTGGCTCTGTTTATATATTTTTGTTGCCATGTTAGCAGGCAAAGCCCGAAATTGGGCTCGGTGCATAGAATTGCCAAAAATTGTAAAAGTAGTGTATATTTGTCAAGTTTAAAAGTGATGCATATAATTGCAAATTTGGAAAAAGTCATGGTTTTATTATTAATCAAGCCTTATTTAAATAATAAAAAATACACTAAGTTGGTCATTTTTTCAACAACGTGTGGTATTGGAATTCACCAAAATGGACACAATAAACTGTCAAAAGAAAATATAAAAACCCCTATGACATGATTCGTAGGAAGGAATGACATGAGAATTGAATGATCATTTCCTTTCTCATTCTTATCCAATGATTAATATATTTTTTGGAAAGGAATAACCATTCTAATGGAAAAGACAAAACCCATCTCTATGGGATTAACTATTGCATAGTTCATGAAATGTTTTCTCATTCCCATGTGTGTAGCAGTAGGAATCAATATTTCAAAAAATAAATTTAACAAATAACAATAAAAAATAAATATATAATATATATTATAAATGAAAATATTTTAAATAAAATTATTTAAAAAAATAAAATTCAAATAAAAAAATTGAAATCTTACTTTTATTTATTGTTTAATTAAAAAATAAAAATATATATTATTAAAAATATATTACTTTTTATTTTATATATCATTAAAAATATATTATTTTTTATATATTAAAAATATATTACTTTTAAGAATATATTATCTTTTACACATAATTTTAAAATATATTATTTTTATATTATTAAAAATATATTATTTTATTTTTATATATTATTAAAAAATCGATTATATATAATTTATTAAAATTTATTTTTTTAAAAAAACTTATATTTATTTTTATAATAAAAAATGATAATGTCATTCTATTCAAGTTTTATTCCTTCTGCATACCAAACGCATCAACGACAAAACTTGTTTCATTCTTTCTCATAATCATTTCATTCTTCAATTTATTGTATTCCTACGAAATTCCATTCTATTATACAAATCATGTCATAGGAGATTAGCCTCTAACATTGAGGATTATTTCATGATGTATATATGGATTGATTGTTTTAAATCACGTGATTATTGTACTATGTGTCATTTTTATATCTATCTGAAAGTTAAATGACATACATAGCCATTTTTACAAATTATTTATCTTCACACAATTGCTGAACAAAAGGCAAACACGAAAAAAAAAAAAAATAAATAAATAAAAAAAAATAAAATAAATGGCCCAATTAGAATAAATCCCAAGAAAATGGAAATTGGGCACGCAGACACATATAATAAAGCAGCAAGGCAAGTGAATAAAACTATCCAAATTATGTCGAATTGCTAATAAGAGATAAGTGTTACAATTATTTTCATTTGATGATCCAAA